ACAATAAGCGCTGATCGACTATTAAAAATATTTAATTTTCATAAACAATATATTTTTTTATGCCCTTGATCATCGAATCATCGAATTTTATTAATTTTATTAATTTCATTAATTTCATTAATTTATATTTCTATTTTTTACAGACTAATGTGTATTATAAGGTGCTCGTGATGTTTTAAATGATTTCGAAATTCCATTAAGTTAAACGATGGACATGACAGTGAAAGATATAAGTGGAGGAACCAGATGGGTCTGTCCAAATGACAGACATCTATCACTGAGAGCGAAGTAAGTATGAAATTTTCAAAGCGAGATGCTGTGTCTTCAAAGACAGCTCTAGAATTGTTTATTATACCTATTTGTGTATAATGTTGATAATGGTTGATTAAATAGATAATTGATTTTATAATCAAGTCACAATCAACTGTTGCTTTCATTTTCAATAATTTGAATTTTTATGTATCACCTTTTTATCGGTAAGATTTCTTAACAAAAAGTATCAATAATTAGGTTGCAGACAGGTTGGTCTGTAAAAACTGGTTCGTTGGATTCGAAATGGAGCACTTATTCCAATTCCTATTCAAGTGGTACGAATCAATGTGCGCAGTCATTTGTACTAAGCGACGAGGAACAACAAACAATTATACAGGTAAAATTTCAATATCTGCAATACATTCATATCAGTCCACTACTCTCTAGAGTTGAATTGAAAATTTTGCTTAGAGTTGCATAGAATAATTTGACATTAATCAAAACATTATATCTTAGGTCATCCAGAGAGCGGAAGCTTTAAATTTATCCGAACAAGAAAGGATTGGCAGATTAGTAGAAAGACTGGAGAATATGAAACGCAATGTCTGTATCGTTACGGCGACAAGATTAAATGAAAAGAAACGGTGCGGCAGCAAGTGCTTCAACAGCACGCACTGCGTGTGCTCTTGTGCTCTTTGCGGGGAGAAGTTCGGCACAGTATTAGGGGCATCGTCGAATCTTTGTAAAGATTGCCGAAAATACATATGCCAGAAATGCGGTATCGAGACTAATGAATTAAGCTCGTCGCTTTCGAACATTTCCACAACGAGAGAAAGAACAGACGAGAGAACAGCCATGCAGCGAATCGTTAGGAGGTCTAACAATGGCCAGAGGCAATTTCTTTGTCGAATCTGTGCCGAAACTAGAGAAATGTGGAAAAAAAGTGGCGCTTGGTTCCTCAGAGGGATGCCAAAATACATTTTACCAGAGAAAAAGGCACGTAGATAGGATTGCATATGCAACAAGCTTGTTAAAAAAAAATGTAATAGCTCCTTTCAAAATTGTAGGAACGAGGATGGTCGAGATCTATTCACAAGACATCCACTTGGACAATTGGAGGTAATAAATCCCTCGAATCTACAGAACCCCAAGATTCTTCCTCCGATGAAGAAGCAACACGGCGCCTGGCTTTAGCTCGAGGACAGTCCAATTCATTCTCAAGCTTACAAAGGAATCAAGACGGTGTTACTAGCAAAGCTCATTCGTCATCGTTAAATTCTGCTCAATCAGCTAGTAGTAGTACATCTAAATCACGAGGGCAACGACTCTCGCCGTTAAACAGCCGTGAGGAATGTTTAGATCAATTGGACAGATCTACACTGTCTATTACTTCTCAATGCAGTCGTCTCTCACCGTCTTCCACAAGCCCACGTTCACGAATATCCCCAAGAACTAACAGCAATGATTCTCAAATCGAGCAGCACGTGTCGTTCGAAGATGAAATTATCGATGAAAAGAACAAGAAGCTTGACGATATTAACGAAGCTGCTCGTAAATTAGATATCAGTTCCTGTGATCAGTCTTCTAGGTCTCCTAGATCTCCTAGGTCTCCTAGGTCTCCTAAGTACGTGAGAATAAAGTAAATTAATTAATTTTTACAAACGATAGTGTAATAAAATAATATTTAGATTTATAACACACCTTAATAAAAGAGTGGAGAGTTTAGCTGATATCAGTCAATACGTAGCAGGTTGAATTTTGCAACAGTTCCAATGATATCGACAACGACAACGACAATTATGTCAACGGAACAAGTTCCAGAACAGTCTCAACAGATCTACGAGAAACGCACGGATCAGGAAGGAAGTCGATCCTCCTCGGAACAAGGAAATCTTTGCAGCAACAATCAAGTTGATTTAATACGACAACAGATGCCAGAATCTGGTAAGTTTACAATCTGATGTTTAATAAAACGAGAATAGTTAATTAATTCTGCAGGTACCTAGCATTAATAAAAGTCGAGTAATCCAAATTATATTTCTCAAAGCAGAAACGAAGCAAAATTATGGAACTCTGGAAATCTCTTTGCGATACGATCCAACAGCTCAGTGTCTTTACTGCAAAGTAGAACGAGCACGAGGTTTACAACCAATGGATATTCATGGCCTTGCCGATCCGTTCTGCAAACTCAACATATTACCAGTGAACACAGTTTCAACTACGAAGCGACTTCGAACAAAGACAGTGCACAAAACGCGGGATCCGGAATTTAACGAGACTTTGAATTTTTATGGGACAACAGAAACTGATGTATGAAAAAAACAAGTTTTCTAAAATCTTAGGTGAATGAAAGTATTTTGTATTTAAAAAAAATAAAAGAAGAAAAATATTTTAGATATGGAATGGCAAGGCACTGCACATCTTGGTTCTTCAAGACGATCCGGCAGGTCAAGACTTCTTAGGGGAAGCGAAATTTCCTCTGCATGAATTACAACCACGTCAAATAAAACATTATAATGTTCCACTGCAAGATCATTATCCAGTATGTATAATTAAAACTTCAATTCTTTTATTCCTTTTTAATATTAAGTAATAATAATTTCAAATGATATAAATGCGCTGCTATGTCATTTTAATTATTAATTTAAGAAAGAAATATTCTAAAAAGTATCCTAAACGCGAATGCTCTCTTGACTGTGTACTATTAAAACTCTATTAACGTACTTGTTAATTTTCCTTTGTTCACTTAATATTTCAGAATCGGTCAAGAATTTCACTGATATTCAATTACTGATCTTCCTAAATAAATAAATCATTTCTCGCGTTTAAAATTTTTCGCGACGGTCGACTTTACTTACATTATTGCAGACACTAAGATATAAGAGCTCGACGTTGGCATAGGTGGACAACGAAGAAGCAGCTTGGGGCGTGTCTTCCAGTGGGCGAGGACAGATTCAAGTGAGTCTAAGTTACTGTACAAGGCGACGAGCATTGACAGTCACAATTCATCGAGCTAGAAATCTTCTTCCTATGGACAGTAACGGATTTTCTGATCCATTTGTCAAGCTGTGCCTTATAGAGAACATGGCAAACAATCATCGACAACGTATCTTCGACTATTCAATCGCACGTATTACTGCTAAAAAGCTAGTATCGAAGAAAGCCACAGGTCGTAATGTACAAAGTACAACGATTAAATGGAAAACTTTGAATCCAGAATGGAATGAAGAGTTTTCTTTCGCTACTCGATTAACAGACCTTATGAAACTCACCTTATGCCTTACAGTATGGGACAAGGATTTTGGCAAAAGTAATGACTATCTTGGTAATGCATTAATTTTCTTCAATTTAATAATTACGTTGCTATATGTCGTATTAAAGATTTATTATGGCAATATTTCTCTTACTTTTGTTTAGGTGGACTTGAGCTAAGTTGTAATAGCAAAGGAGCACGATTACGACATTGGATAGACGTAATCAAATTTCCGGATCATCGTCATCAAGCTTGGCATAACTTAATCGATACTATTTTACCTATAGAATGATAATTTATATTTTTACTTTTGTTATTAGTGTGTTGTTCGATATGTTTTAATAAAATCTATATATTCAGTATGCGTAATAATCCGCAAAATATAACTTATTTACACGTGATCAGTATTATTGCTCAAAATGTATTATTCCACAAAAGAAGTGATATAAAAATAAAGATATTATATTATATATGGGAAATCTTATTATCTTAATTTTGTTGATTTGTAAGAAAAATTTACATCGTACAAGAATTAAAAAGATTTATTTTTACAATAAAAATTATCTGGAAAATTTTAAATGTACCTGTTTTAAATTATTGAAGAAGTTAATATACAATTAATCATTTCCACTTTCACTAGAATCTTCTTCAGCTTCCTCTAACCATTTAATAAATGGTTGTATTGCAACTCTCACTTTGTTTTTCTCATATGAATCCATGTCTTTATCACTAGATTTGTACCATTCTAAAATTTTTTCTTCTGATAATACATCTCTATCATAAAGCATATGCAACAAAACTTGCAAACATGATAACAATTCTGGAGTTGTACTTGCAACCTCTTCTATTGCATGTAAACAGTCATTTTGTGCATTTTCTGTTTTAACATAATTCAATATAATTGGATAAAAATATGTTATTACACGCTTTAAATTTCTATGATAGTCTATACTAGTTTCTTTCTCTTCTGAAAGATGGAGAGGTAAACTTAATATGGCTTTAATAACATTATATGTTACTTCGTCCATAGTAACATTATATGCGTATCTAGATGAATTTATTTCTAAAATTAAATTTTCACACTTAAGTTGATCTTGGAAGCCTCTTAATAAACTATCAATAACCTCAGATAAGAACATGCTTATGTCATCTGCAGCTGGCAAATTACAATCAGAAGCTTCATCAATACTTGATGTATCTGTGTTTGTATGTACATTATTATCATTTTCCAGTATGTCATAATTTTTAAAGAGATGAAATTCATTATATGGATCAATTTCTGATATTGTTTTTGTAGAAATTTTATCGTCTTTTGATTCTATGATAGAGTCAATATACTCCATTGGAGTATAAATAATCGTTTTGGGACGTAATATACATCCATCTATTCTTGTGTTTTGTTTAATGAAACAATTTGAAAATATTACACTATTTATAATGGTACAGTTATCTTCAATTTTATTATCTGAGAAAATGTAAGAATTCTTAATTGTTACATTAGACCCCACTAAACAATGATCTCCAATAACTGCTTTTACAACTAAAGTATCATTCCCAAGTGTACTATTTTGGCATAATATACTATCTTTCTCTAATATACAACCTTTAGCAAGAGTAGCACTTCTATGTTTATACGTGCTTCTTGGCATATAAATAAAATCTTTTAAAAATGGAACAGCATTTGGTGTAAGTGGAAAAGTATGTCTGTTCAGGATATCTCGGTTAAGACAGTGATATGCATTCCATGATACAATCGGCAGACTATAATCTTGTGGATCTAATTGCTGCCAATATATTCGAGAATTTAAAATTTCTTCATTCATTAACACTCCGCGAATGAAATCTTCCATCGTCTGTTAACAACATAGAAAAATTATTATTTTTTATTATTCATATCTTGCTTCCAGGTCTTCAGCTGTATCATATATTACTTACTTGGAAATCAAAATTGTCAGAGAATAATGGTAATACGGAAGGAGAACATAAATAAACATGACTATCCAAAAAACAGGTATTAATTTCAATTTCATTATGGTTCAAAAACCAATCTAATTCCAACTTTACTTTATTTAAATCTTTCGTTAATACATTATAATGTAAAATCTTTCTACTACTTTTGTCAGAAACTACCAAATATAATTTTTGTCTCAAAGAAGATCCATTTATGGAACCAATGTTTCTTAACACCATGGTCATGGCTGTACCTTTGTCTTCCTTCAGCTTTGCGCAATGTTTGATTAAAAGATTTGTAAGATTGGCATTAATAAATGCGTCTCCTCTAATAAGTATAAAATTACCACGAATGGAACCTTTTGTATCAATATCTCTGAGAGCATCTCCAAGAGAAGTGCAAGCATCTGATACAATTAAAGAAACTGATATTTTAAGCCATTTCTTCTGTTTTATATATGCTTTTATTAAGTCTACATGGTTGCTACAGTAAAGAAGTAATTCTTGCACTCTCGACTTAATTAGAGTTTCCACTAAATAATCTAACAGTGGAACATTTATTATAGGCATTAATATTGTTGGGAATATAGTCTCTGCAGGCATCAAATTCGTTACAAAATCATCTGCAAGAACAACAGCCTGTATAATTTGCTTCTTTCCCATTTTTGTAGCCATTTCGTTTTATTTGAATTTTTTATAGTCCTCAAAGTAATAAATACAAAATATTCATTATAGATTACGAAATATTGGACAATATTTTTATGTCGTTTCAAGCACAAAATTTATTTTCACATATACGTGAAAATTAAGTAATATAGATGCTTTTCCGTTGTTTTTTTCTTTTTTTTTTTAATTAATACAATTGATTAAAACATAAATGAAATTCAAGAACAGTATGGAATAGACTCTAGTAACAATATTTACACTGAGGCCATATTCTCTCACTATTGCCACAACGAGATCAAAAATTCCAAATTATGTTTCAAGTCAAAAAATATACAACAATTATATAATTATATGATTTTTCCAAAATTTAGCTACTTGATTCCAATTCTTTTTTTTTGTTAAGGCTTTATTAAATTAAAAAATCAATCAGGAGAGCACGAAATTCAATAAATTCAGTGTTCTTTATCTTATCTATGATTTATCTTATACTCTTCTTACGTGAAGTAACAGAGTATATATCTAAAAGTATATAAAATCTTCAAATTGAACATATTAAAAGAATTATTCTAACTTATTCTATTACAAATTTTATAAAGGTATAAAACATGTCAATGAAACACCTAGGCAAGGTAATACATTGTATTACATTAGGTTAGAAATCTGATAAAACTTAATTTCAAATAAATTTTAAAATCGTTTTATGATACTAATGATTGTATAAATTCAATTTATTCAATTTTCATTAATCACACATATTAAAGTGCAATCAAAAGAGATGATACAAAATTAAAAATTTTAGAAATTGTATTATATACCAAGACCCACACGATGGACAAAAGGAATTGGTGCAGCATTACCAGAAGAATATAAAAAATTTTGGAAAGAATGGAAACTACAAACTCCAACTGCCGTGCATTATATAGAACAAAAAGGCAAATATGTAAAAAATGAAGAAACAGGAGAAGTGTAAGTATCTGGTAATACATCTTTATATGTTTTTAATTTATATCTTCTATGATGATCATATTCAATATTTGCTTCTAGACGTCCAGTTCAAAATGTACCATTGCCATTATTGTATCCTGAAGAATTTCATAAAGGTATATGGGGCGGAGAAGCTGTAATACAAGGTTTCACAAAGAAACACAGATATGCTCGCAGATATCCACATTTTTGGTTTCCTACACTTAAAAAGTCTGTGGTTTACAGTGAAGTTTTAGACAAATATATAAGTGTTGTTGTTACCAATAGAACTATTGATTTAATTAATGAACATTATGGTTTTGATCATTATTTATTAAAGGTATAAATAAGTTATAAAATATACGTAAATATCTTAAATATCACATTTCATTATTTCATTATTTGTAATTATTTATAGACTCCTGCCTGTGACTTAAAGTCTGAGCTTGCTATAAGGATAAAACGTGAAATACTTTTAGCATTGGCTGACAAGACATTATATCCAGATGATTCTCTTAAAAGAGAGGAGATTTATAATAATTATAAGGAATACCTAACAGCTGTAAGTTTTTTTAATGTAATTCTAATATCTCGTAACTTTATTAAAATTATTATTTTAATTGTTAAGTAATTAATATTTATTTCTAGTATACACGAGATGAAATAGAATGGTATGGTTTGACTTATAAAGAAGCTTGTAAAAAATGGATGAAACATTGCACAGAAAAAGAAAAAGTGAAGCCTTTAAAGTTGCAATACAGAGCTGAGTTAATAGCTGAGCTTAAGCAAGAAAAAAGTCAGGAAGCAGAAGAAACTGTAACAAAGTATGTTCATAGTAAATTATATTTTATTTAACTTTTTATGTTTACAGAAATTTGTAACAGACAATTATTTTTGTAGATGGAAGTTACCATGGAATCCTTTCGTCTCCTCAAAATCGGATTAGTTCATATATTATATTGCTGTATATTATAAATAAAGAAAATGAAACATTTACTTCATAAAATGAAAATGAAACAGATTGATCTTTCATTCATATATAGTAACCTCAATAGAAAATTGTACAAGCAAATTTTAAATTATTAACACGAATATGAATCATAAGAAAACTTCTAGATATAATCAACTAAAAATTGTTTACTTTTCAGAAATAAATAACTACGATATTGAACACTCCAAATCTCCATCCTTTGGCAAACAATTTAATAGTGAGGCTATAGCTCTTGTAATATATGTCATTGTTCCAAAACTACCACTTGGAGCACTGTCATAAAAATGTTGACAAACGTATGCTGCTCCACCACAAAGAAGATTTCCCATTGCGGTTGTTTCACGTTGTTCTTTTGGTTTAGCACAACACAAGGTAGCATCACCATCAATCTTCATCTAATTATGTAAAATTAATTCGATATACATAATATGTAAGTATTGTATATTTGATAGATATATCGTATATTCAGCTGTACCTGATCATCTAAAAATATGGCATTAGCTTTGTGAACTAATTGTTCAACCGCGATAAGTCCTCCCAGGGAAGTTGCCACATTATATTCAGTTACTAAAGTCAACACCATTAAAGCTTCGACTACTAACTGACGGTATTCTGGTTGCGGTATAGTGTTTAATACAGTTTCTACTGCTAGTGCAAATTTTAATTCCCCTGGTGTCATCTCCTGTGTAAGATTTTGAGCCAAGATTCTTCCTTCAATCGCTAAACCTTGGCACTGTAACAATTGAAATATTAGCAAAAGATAAATTTTCGATACAGATTCAGTCTCAAGTTTTAATGGTAGACGAACTTGCTGATCATGTAAAATTAGAAAGTTAAAAACTTTACACGTATTATTTTCAAGAAATAACAGTTAGTGTTGTAACTCAATATGCTACATTAATTACAAAACAATGAATTACATTGTTTTATTTACAATATACGAGTCTACAATTGTTTCATATTGAATTTATTTTTTACATTTTTATAAACACAGTGCATTTATATTAATTTCATTTTTTGTTTCGATGACTTTTCTGAATATTTCTGAAGCTTGTTCGCTAAGTTCGCTTGTTCACAACTGGTACTTACTCGTTCGAGCACTTGCCATACTCGAGGATAAAAATCTCGTGGCACTCTGTTTAATGCACCGTCTAATCTTCGTCGTCGTAACCATTGTCCTTGTCGATCTGGTTCTACTTCATTACCATCAGTTTGATCGGGACTTAGGAAACCTCCAATTTGTGATTTCTAAGTAAAAAATACTTAAATTATAGTAAAACTATAGAAAACCAATGATCGTCGCAGCGATATACTTTAGTTTAATTATTACCTTGCTGACTTTACTAGATTTGCAACTAATAACAGAAAAATTTCCGCGACCAACTAAAAATACAAATAAATTATTTTTATATGGAAATAAAAGTTTTATATCATTTCATTAACGTATTAAACATACCACTACTAATGGCAAACTCTTTTCCACTCATAATATGATGTAATAGATTTTTCATTTCGAATGGTGATAAATTAAGCAAATGCTCAGACGCTTCTTCTCCCGTACATATTAGAGTTCTTGATAATTCAGTAGCCATTACTTGAATAATCAAACCTACTCTAAGTCTGAGCATTTCAAGAAACAACTGCGGTTCCGTTCTAATAAACATCGCTAAATAAACAAGTAATTCTTGTGTTAACATAGCAGTAGATTCATCGTCTCCATACGCTTGATGTATTAAAGATCTTAATTCATTTTCTGGTAACGGTGCGACAATAGTATGTTCATTAGTTGGAGGCATTCCAACTGTAACTTGTTTCTGACGAACTAATAAATCAGTGACTGCTTTGGCTAAATCTTCGACTCGTTTTCCTAACATGCCGGCTGTGTGACGTACGATGCCCCACATTTTTTGTTGACAAGCCTTTTCATAGAGATCTTTTAATAAATCCTTTATCAAAACTGGATGACCTTCCTCTACCATGCCAGTATTGAAATACAGGCCTTGGGAATCAACCTAAGTATTTAAATTGAAATTACTTATGAAACAAATAAAAATTTCTCAATAACTATGAAATATTTATTTCTAAAGTTGGCCCATTTTAATAAAGTTTATTTATTTAGATTTACATACAAAATATCGTTTTCCTTGTACTTACAAGGTATTGTAAAATATCTCCTTGTTCTTCTAAACTTTCAGTTTCTCGAAGCATAGTTAATAACTCCTCGACTTCCGTATCTGCATACTGAGTTTCACCTATACCTCTGTGTCTATGTAATTTTGGAGAATTTGTCCAAGATAATAACTCATCTGTAGGGGACGGTGTTCTATCCGTAGTAGCCGACTGCGTTGGATTAGGAGTTAATGTTGTATCTGTCACTTCAATAAATGGATTTGTATTTAGAATAGTAGAAGGTCTTCTATCTTCTCCTGCCATCCCAAGAATTTCAGCTACAAATTACATAATTAGCTTCTTTCACTTTTCTTAAAAATTATTTTATAAATTATCCAATTATTTAATTATTAAGTTCATTTAAAATAAAATTGTTTAAAAACAAAACGGACATGTTAAATTCTTAATTTTCGTTAAAATTTGAAAATTATTTATCATGTGTTAGTACACTTACATTCTTGTAGGATGGTAGGAACCATTACATATAGGATCACATTGTACAAACATTTAAGGATCCACTTTAAGTCGCATGCAATCAGAATTTTAACAGTTTAAATAATTTGTATTGTTAATATACGAAGTAAATATAACTTACGTTCTATAGCGATTGATCTCGTTTTCTTTATAGCACCTTTTACCGACATTCTGCGTCTTAAATTTTTTCCAGTTTTAGTTATCGGTCTATTCAGAAGACCTGTCCTATGTGGAAATGCGCGCATTAGATGTTCTTCTAGATAATGTTGGACCTTATCAAATATATACAAACATATATATATATATATATATATACATAAAATATAAGGTACTACATTATTAATTTAGGATAAATATCTGTTTACTTGAGGATTCAATTTGTCTGGTTTACCATCCTCAGAACTACCTAAGAAGCTTAGATTTGTAATGCAAGAAGTACTTAAAAAATCATTCAAATTTCCTAATGAAACTCGTGTACCATTGATATAACCACTTTTTAATTTTTTCATAGTAGTTATCATTGCCAATGGTATCTTTCCTTGATCTGAAATAACAATTGTATAATATAAGGATTGTTCTTATCAATATCTAAGGATAAAAAAAGTAATGTTCTCTATATTGTTTCTACGATGTATGATTTTTGAAAAAATTCTATTCTATTTTCAA